AAGTTCATATCATCCAAGATGAAAAATACTAAATTTGAAGCCATATGACCTGTGCTGTACTTTATACTGAAACATCACGTAGTCGAGTTGGCATCAGTTGAATTGGCTGGACGTTCACATGAAAAAGTTGCGAGTTTTCTAACAGTAAACCGAAATACTACTCTTATGGCGAATGTGTATAAAACTGAGAGAAATAATTCTTAAAATATGGATATGTTTGCCCTTTTGGGCTTTTTTTCATGAAAAGCATGCGATTTATCTTCCAGCTGGTGTCAATTCACATAATTTCTGATGGAAATTCCACGTCCTATTAAAAACAGACATCACATGACCATAAATAATGAAATTTTGAAAACTCGTGGCCGAAATCCTTTAATAATCTCTTTTATCCGGATAAAAAAATGGTATGCGTTATGATAGCTCTATATAGATTTTAAATAGTGCAAGATCTTTCTCCATATTTCCTGATTTGACTCGAAAGATGCCCCCCCCCCCCCTCTCAAAACTTTGGTTATGGCCGATGCTTTCTTTTGAGGTTTCTGTGTACTCTTTTGTGTAGCCCATGTGTCGTTACTTAAAAAGTGACGAGTCATCGTTAAACCTATTTCATATATTTTTTTGTGTGCAAATATTGGAGTTTCAAATGACCACTAAACGGGGTTTTTTGGTTTGTCAATATTCTCTAAATATTGCCTTTTTTATCCAGTGACAACAAAATAAATATAACTCTATAAAATGATACAGTGTATTTTATCCACTTTTCGGACATTTTCAGTTTGAGTGTTCGCGATTATAAACATTCATATGTGCAGATTGTCCTGTGTATACACACATATACGGAACACCCGATCGTCTACCCCACCTATAATTATGTCGTTACAACTCACCTCTGACCCTCCACCCGCAGCCCTACAATAATGACAGTTAAAACACGTTATTTGTTAAGGATCGTTCATCATATACACGCGTCTCCTGTCGTCTGCTCTAAAATATAGATAAGAGAGTTACTCATCTGTGACGCTCTACACCGATATCACACCTCCCTAGAAAATCGTGTATGTCAACCCCTCAAAGTAGCATGGTTTAGTAGGACATTCTCAAACCATGGTTCTCAAACCTCGAAACGACAATTTTAGAATATTATACAGAGAGTTCCCATAATGTGATTGTTTTAGACGGTCTTATGGCTGCAGTTGCTTTTTGTTCTGTGTAACGGCTCAGAACCTATATCTGATGATTAAGTTTTGGTAAATAATACATACTGAAGTAACACGATACTGAACTGTCCAATAGAGTATGTCACATTTTATTACAGCAGCTTGTTAAATGGCAGACATTTATTTTGTTATTTTTTTGTAGTTAAGTGCCGATTTATTTATTTTCCTGATATGGCTTATGTCTAAGATTTTTTACAGATAAAAAAATCATATTTTGTATTTTTGGATTTACTTGAATGGATTTGGTTGACATAAAAAAAAAACAGAAAGGATTTTTGTCACTTTAAAATCTGCAAAAATATACCAGATAAAAGAATCTTGTGATAACGACACAAGCAAAATACTTTTTGTATGACCAAATATGAAATTAAACCGGTTATACCACACGTTAAAAGGTATAAACACTATAAAAAACAATATTGCAGCGTATGGCTGAGCCGTTTTACATTTCAATCCATTGAACGATATTCAAGTTATATAACTTTAATCATTAAGCACTGTATCTGTTCTTGTTTTCTTTTCGAGTTAGTAATGTCTTCTTAGCCTTCATCAAAATCGTAGTTCAATGACTTTCCGAAGGCACCATATCAAAGGTCGAAGACTTACGATTGGCGGGATATTCAAATATGGTTATATTATGTCCGTAAAAATTGTATAGCATCCTAAACATGTTTTTCAAATTTGTCACATGTCATGTGCTAATCCAATGAAAAAACAGAATTTATATAGAAAAATAAGAAAAGGTGTTAAAACAATAAGATCGGATGTCGTAGATTCAAAAGCATTTAATTTTAAGATATGAAGCGCGAAATCCTTTAAACGTGGGGTAACTTAAGCTGGGACGCTTACAACTTTAATATTTTGAAACACTGCGACCCAAGGTTATCAACAATAGAAGACCATGCATGCCAAGTAACCGTGGGATCCACTGCTTATAAAACATTACAATCTCAATTTAACACCTGACAAATACTTTACTAGAAAAAAATCATATTTTTTTTGCATAATTAAATCATCCACTTTAAAAATAGATGAAACACAAATACATCATAACGTACAGCTCATTTCTGAAGGCAAATTAACAAATATTTCAAGCCAGTCATCTTTGTTTGCTTGACGATAACAATATTTATTAAACTATAAAGTTATGATTTTTTCCGGGATTAAAGATATTAAACAATAGAGACTTGTCAATGTAAAGTAGGAATATAACTATAAGGATCAATAATCTTATAGGTACCATTTTGTGCCGAACCCAGCTGGAGTTAAGATTCATATCATGAGACGTAGTCACCACCTTATTGCAGTAATGGTTTTGTCATAGCAATAAACAATTATAATTTTCTATGTGTATAGGACGCTTAAATACCGAACGGTTTGTTTCATAATTCATTTTCTGACAATGGTACCTCATTGACTTACACCTATGTGGGTTTCAAATGTGCGGTAATACAATTCCTTATAGAGCATTTAAATGACACAATTACTTAAAATTTATATCATCATCTTGTGCAACATATTCCAACTATTAATTTGATACCAAATACTACTTTATTTCAAGAAGTAATTTAACTTTTTGTTGAAGACTGGAGCAGATAGAAAAGTGTAATTTTATTACTAATAAGATATAATTCCCATTTTCGACACGATAATTTGCATAGTTCTTAAACTAGTCTATTTTGCATACTTGCTTAACAGTTGCCTACCAGTATCTTTCACCATCAAGAATTTAAAAAGTGACAACCGGTAAATTTGTCATATAACACTTTTGAGGAAACATAGCTTTCCTTCTAATTTTCATTTAGCTTGTGTTTCTTCATTATCAAAGGCCTTTTAGTCTTGATATTTGGCAAGTAGGTTCTTCATATTAATGGATATAAGTTTTGCTAAAATAATTTTAAGGATATCTTTCCTTGCTTTATTTGTTTAGAGTTAAATATATAAAATTTGTAATATTCCTATTTTGTTTAATGAATGGGCAAAAGGCAAAACAAAATAAAAACAAAAGACTCGGAGGTCCTGTGTCGCTCACCTGGATATTTTCAAAATCATGGGAAAATAGTCTCAATAAAAGTACTTTGGCAAATATTTAAATACATTGAGACTCCTTGGCTAAGGAATGTCCCAGAGTAAATGAAATGTTATACGACTCTATCCCAGCAAACTGCCCATCAAATATCATCAACTGGTGTTGCGGAAAAAGTTGTTTAAAGATATCTACATATTTGACCCCTGTGACCATGGAAGGAGGTCAAGGAAATCTATTTTACGAAAGCTTTATAGCACTCTGTCAAAGGTACCTCCTGGCCAACAATCATTACTCTGGGCCTCCTGGCTATTCTGAAGAATTTGTGTAAAGGTTTTTACATATTTGACACCGTTGATCTTTAAAGTAGGTCAAGATCATATGTAATTAGGGAAGCTTCATATCACTCTGTCCAAGGTACCTACGGGCCAAATAGCATTGCTCTAAGCCTTTTGGTTATTCAAAATAAAAAGTTTAAAATATTTAAACCATTTGACCCATGTGATCTTTAAAGTAGTTCAAGACCATCTATTCGAGGAAAACTGTATAGAACTCTGATCCAGGTACCTATTAACCAAGTATCATAACTCTGGGCATCCTCGGTAATCAGAAGAATTTGTTTAAACGTTTTTACATATTCTTTTTCTATATCACAATCTCAACCTAAGTAGTTCTCCAGAGGAAAAATTACTTTGGCAGAATACCTTTTTATGAGTTATTACTGCTGTACTTAACTTTAAAGCATGCGTAATATAATAAAGTGTTTTAAGTGATGCAGCCACAGAAAATGTATCGTTATTTCCCATAATAAAGATAGTCCTTGATCAAATCTCCTTATTACTCGCGCCCACGTATGTTTAGAAGAATGTAGTATCGTAATTGCATGCAATGTAGCTATTACGTAATGATATCAGCCTTCACATAATTGAACCGTCGACACCAGTCATGACTCGTAATAGTATATAACACCATATGCGAGTCACTTACAAGTGTAAAATAATGACAAAAACCTTCACAAGGTTTACAATAAACAGGCTTATCGCCACCAGTTATCTAGATGAAATGCTGTCATAGTAGTAATACATACCTGCATACCCGTTTCAAACTATAGAGCTCTAATGACATTTTACTTCCTATATTCTTGAACGTGATATTATTCTTTTTTTTCCACGAATTAACATATTACCCTCATTGCTATTAATAGATAAATGACTCATAAATATAACATAATGTTTTGTCCGTTGTCCCGTAAATACCTACTCAAATGATCTTGACTAACATTTTAACGACATGAAAGCAGCAAAGATTCTGTATCAAATGTATGTCCCTATTTTTATAAGGATACAAAAATGATCTTTCCATTTTACGAAGTATATAAGGGGAGCAATTGAACTCCCCATAACTCACTACCATAATTGAACCCTGGCACATTTGAATATGGCCCCAAAAGACAGTAGTTTTGCAGGCACCATTACATGTAGCATTTTACGTGTTGCTGATCTTTGACCTATTTGGAGGATTCATCAGAGTGAGGTAAAGATTTGGAGCAACATATTGGAGAAAATGCTAATTCTTTAAACCAGTATAAAGGGTACTGTCGACGCCTACATTCACTGTTTAAAAACGAGGTCTGTAGATGGGACCGACTATTCAGCATCAGCATTGTATATCTTATAGATATTTCTTTGTGTTTACACTTCAAAATACAAAACCAAGTGATCTTATATGTATTTCAATTCATCAGAAAAGTTACGTACCTTGGTCAATGTCAATTATCGTCCTGTGTGCTCTGATCTGTCCTGTAGAGGTTTGTTGTAGTTACGTGTACCTAAATATGTTCCTGGTTGTTTTCTAAGTAATCGTTTGGCATTCTCTACACCGCTATTCTTAGTAACAGTTTACCTCGTTGTCCCATATTACGACTCCTTTACACTTCGAACTTGACAGAATATTGGGATCGCTATAAAGATGCTATCTTGGTGACACGTAAATTCAAAAGAGGCATATTGTCACACAACTGATTGAAAAGCATTCTTTGTACCCCAAGTACACTATCAAGTTAACTCGACTTCAAGAGAGCGATACTTGCAATTACGGACATCAGATCCGTTGGGTTACTCTACTGTCTCCAAAGTAGATGATACAAATTAAAATCCCTTATTCTAGTTGTTTCGTTTTTATAACACGTTTATATAATTTCATTCTACACTGACCATTAAGAGAGCGATGATTAATGTATAACTTAACAAGGCAGTCCTATGTCTTTACATATATGACGAGAAATGGCTAATCGGTTTTTTGAGCTCGTGTATTTATAAAAAGTGTACAAGTGTAATATTCCTGATTTTTCTATACATACTTGTAAACTTTCACTCGAGAAGCATAACGGTTATTTATCAATTATACCAATAACATCCTCAATATATTCGAGTATGTCTTATTTATATTTGAGGTAGAAATACACACAACATTGTTAGTGTAGGTAGTCCAGTCATACACCTTCCGTATGGTTGTATAGTACAAAGGTAGTCTAGTGTCATATTGTAGGTTTTGTATAGCTCTGACGTCTCGCATGATTACACATGTAACGTAATATGGCTTTGTGTGCGCCCTTGTTACTTGACTAGACAGTTGTGAATTCGTTAGTGGTTCTCACAGCAACAAACCACTACTGTTTGTTTTTTTTGTTGTTATTTATTATAATTATTGTTTTCCTTTTAAGTTCCCCAAGCAGAAAACAAAGCAGAAAATCTCTGATTCTGCCTTGAGAAGGAGGAGGGTTATTTGCTTCCTGCTATAATTTACAGTGGTGTAAAGGAGGGTTATTCTTTCTTTTAATATGGACTAGGTTATATATATATATGTGTGTGTTACTCACTCACTTACATACAAATCATCAATCGACCAGAATAAAAGAGAGAAAAACAAAAACGCTCGCATTAAAACAATAGGTAAATTGGCAAAGGAAAGTTAAGTTAAGGCACAATTCACATATTGAATTTCCTTTTATAACATTTTTTACTGCTGGAATACGACGTTTTCGGAAAATTATTTAAATTATTCAAGTAGCAAATAACAACTTTATGAGATTTACTCTTAAATGTTCTTTCAGAGAGCGAAGATTAGAGCCCCAGCATCTAAGACGAAGATAGATTGTCTGTTCATGGGAGATCATATGTTTATATGAAATGTTATAATCATAATTTCTTGATTTCATGATAAATAAGTTAAATTTCACTCGGAAACATAACAGTTTTTCATGAAAAAAAACATCCTGTAAATATTCGGGTATGTATAACTTCTATTAGAGTTAACAATACACACACTATTGTTGGTGTAGGTAGCCCAGCAAGGTAATATTCCGAATGATTGTATAGTACAAAGGTAGTCTAGTGCTATAGTGTAGGCTCTGTATATCTCGAACATCTCGCATGATATCGAATGTAACGTGATATGGCTTTCTGTTTACGCCCTCGACACAATAAGACACGTGACCTGCAAGATGTATATCAATAACTAATTTGACTGCAAAACAGTGTCAAGGGAGGTGAGTATTACATTCATAGTCAAATTGATCAAATATTGATTAATATTTTCTATCTTGTGTTTGGAAAGCTGAAATCATACTTTGATGAATTAATGAGCACATGATCAATAAATTACTTGACCTTAAACTAGGACAGATATCAAATTAGCAGCGATACGAAAACATACGATCTAAAATATACTTTGAATTTCGAAAATCTGAAATTATAAGGGATTGGAAGTTGAAAAGAGGTCGTAGGCTATGTGACCTTCCTTGCAAACTGTCTTGCCCGTCATTCTGTATAGCAAATCCAAAATGATATTATATATTTGTTGTCGTTTCTGATGACAAATGAGCAAACCTTACACCAACACATTTAAGTACTAAACTTGACAGTTAAGACGAGAGCTTATCTGTGCCATCACTACACTTCGAACATTCCAGATATAACACAATTTCAACTATTCAACTGCCCTACAAATGTAATATATGTCATATCTGGCGATGTTTGTATCCGGTTCTCTTTATCCCTAGCTGCTGGTGTCATACAATATCATTTCGTATTATGTATTGGATCACCTAGTACAATCAGTAACGAAAGCATTGATACATTTCTTTCAGATAATTTATATTTCATAATACTAAACTATGCAATTTTTATTAGGAAACGAGCAAACTAAGAATGGTAACTGTCTGATATGTAATGTTCTCTTTCGGGATTCAATGATTGTTGAAATAACACTGCACTGTTCTATCCTATTGCGTATTTAACACTTTATATGCATAGAGGATACGTGGTTTATCGGTTTACTTGATATCACCACCGCTTTTAAGATCATTTTGTTTTCATGTCAATATTATTCTGATTTTGTAGTTTTCAACTGAAATAAGTATACAGAATATACCACAACTTTGTTAAAGACATGTTTAACAGTAGTGACAGCATATGTGGTATTCAAACATGTATCAAATAGTGCCTAGCAGATGTAAAGGCTTTGGGTTGTCTATTATAGTTTATAGTCGTCTGGATTGCAAAACAAACCACTTAGTATCCAACTTTCATTTATTGGATTATACGTCGTAACAAACGGTACCATATCCGTGTCTTTGTTTTCAGCTCTTTCCGAGTATATGTACTTTAACGCAAAAACCACACCACAACAATTTCCAATATTACAGTACCTTCTATTCATAGCGTCAGTCGAAAATTGTATCCGATAATACTTTTTATAAAAATGGATTAATACGATATCAACTCATTATGTACAGGTTAAAAGGGGCCACTGTTTAGTTTGCCTTAATTAACAGAACGAACATCAATTCGAAGGTGTTACTTGCCGTTTCCTTGCGTTAAATATGCTTACATATTGATTAGATCAATACAATGTGAGCAGCCTATAAAGTGTCTGTTGAGAAAACATTCGCACAAAAATAAATGACGTTACAGCGTAGCTACTCGATTTAAAGGAGGACGTGGCTGATTGAGGTAGGCACATTTATAGAATATGACGTCAGTGAAAAACCCAAAGGCAGATCGGTCTTTTTTGTATGGTAATGGAATTGTGACGTCACAAAGTCCCTCCTCCCCAAATAATTCGCGCCCAATTACACAACAACGGTTAAGTCATCTTATGTATCAACATGACTCAAAATTACAAGTTATCGTACTGACAGTATCTAAACTGGCGTAAAGTAGGGGAAGGACAAATATTCCATAAGTGTTTCCTACGACAGTGTGGTGCTATCTTAAAGCACTTTGATACCCAGTGTATCGTCCGGTTTGGATTAGGTGTACGACAAGTACCGGAATCTGACAGGAGTACTTTTACCTAGGACGCGCACCTCTGTGGCAATAACCGGAGGTGTTTCCTCAAGAAATGTTGCAACTGGTACTTCTAACTGTATTAGAGTCGTCTCAATGGCACCGTCTATCACGACACTTTGTAGCTAGTTAAATTAACATCGGTTATCTGTGTCCGCCTGTCGGTATGAGGATCAAATACTGGTACAGTTTTCTGGATATGATCGATTTTAAAATGTCTTAGAAAAGAAATCTATATGGTGTACATTGTATTGTTCCATAAGAATGTGTGACGTCAAAGCGTTCCCTACCCGACTTGGAGGCATGGCTGTAACGTTGATGCGTATTAATAAGGTGTGACGTAACGGAAAATATATATAAAAGGAATGACATGAATATTTTTCAAAGATTTGCGACATCACTCCTTCTTGACGTCACAGACATTCAAGAGTACTGTTTATATGAATAGGGCAATAGCTGTTATACTACTTTTCAGATTTGTTCTCGAAATGCAGCTTCTACGGTTTTGTCTACGCTTGTTACGATCTTGGTCGGATTTCCCGTCCAATATGTTCTTGTAATATCTTCTTTATATTTCCTGATTCGACTCGTGAGATGGCCATATCACGTTGTTTTTCAGCGAAAATTTATTTTTGTCAAGCGTAGTGTCAACGCCACTTCTCATGTAAGACATATGAGGCAGGTTCATTGTTAGTTCAATGTTGGTATCTCTTATATACAAGTGGACGTCATGCATCTGTTCTACACGAACGGTAACTGAAAAGTAATTATGATAAATTATTTTGGTAGATAGATCGCAACACACAAAACAAGTCGTGTATCATGGACGAGGTGAGAGATTCTTAAAGCTTCATGGAAAACTCATCAGGTTGATTGTCTCTGTGGACCAGTGCATTGTCCGAAGACTTGAGAACCATGCGCATGCTCATTTTTATGAATGATCACTTCGTTAGGTGGAAGCTTTTGTATACCGATTGAAGTTCTCATGAACCCTATTTCATATATCCCTTTTTCAGCAATTGATTAAATTTACCAGAACCGCTAAACGAACCCGGGTGTTTTCGGTCTGTCAAATATTCTCTGAACATTGCTTAGTGTACAGTGACATCATAACGAGCATAAGTCTATTAACTTTTCTAACGGTTTAAGCTTGAGTGCCCTCGGTTGTAAACACACACACACCTATTGCGCACACGATCGTCTATCCTAACTGTATGTCGGTACAATGCACCTGTGACCCTCCACCTTACAATAATGGTCGTAAAAACCTATTATTTGTAAAGGATCGTTTACCGTACTCAAGCGTTCCCTGTCGTCTGAATCGTATACTTTATGTACAGTAAATGAAATGATCTTGACTCAAAATGAGGAGCTCCTGTAGTTATGAAAACTATATTAGAGTAATATTCTTGCTTAATGCAAGTTATATTTCACTCGGAAATATAATGGTTACTCATAAAAAAGCAAGAATATCCTCAACACATTCGGGCATGAATACTTTGTATCAGAAATAT